ATACTCAAGCGAGACAAATTTTAGAAATCAGCAGTTTTTGGTGGATTGTAGGAAATATGTTCTAGACGATGTGAAATACGCATTTCAGATGAGAAGAGTGAAAGCCGCTTCATCGTCCGAATTTCGTACCACTATAATTCGAATTCTTCTACCACATTGCCTCCAATGATTTCCACCTTCAAAGCACACGGGGTCTCAGCAGCACATGCTTTTAGACAGTGGGCCAATTGTGGAAAGAGAAGGTCAGCAAAGAATATTAGAACCTTCTTCATCTTTTGTACTTCACATTCCTGCAAATTGAGTTCTTTAACCATTCTTCCAATGAATTTCTTTACTTTTAGCACATACGGCGTCTCACAAAAACATGTCTCAACATTCTGGCACAGTTTTGGGCAAAGCATCTTAGCGAAGAAGAGTAGAACTTTTTGTATCTTCCAAACTTCAGACTCCTCTAATTCTACTTCTTTTACGGCGTTTCCTCCTATGAATTTCCTTACCTTCAACAAGCATGGTATCTGGGCTACGCAAGTCGTTACACAGTTGGTTATTTTTGGATAGAACATCTCAGTGTAAAAGGGTAGAATTTGCCTAATCTTTCCTATTTTTCCAGCCTCCACTTCGACTTCTTCAAGCAAACTGCTTCCACAGACTTCTGCTTTAAACTCACATGGATTCCTGGATGGGCATGTCTTCCCACATTGGGTTAATTGTGAATAGAGCATCTCAGCGATGAGGAACAAAATCTGCCTGATCGCTCGAGTTTCAAATCCACCCACTTCAGCTTCTTGAACCACACTTGTTCCACTAGCTTCCTCCGCTTTCAACTCACACGGAGTCTTAGCTATGCATGTCTTCACCCATTGCGATAATTGTGGATAGAGCATGTCAGCTAAGAAGAGTAAAAGCTGCATCATCGTACTTATTTCAATACCCTCTTCTGTGACTGCTTCAACCGCACTTCTTCCAGTACCTTCCTCCGACTTCGACTCAGTTGATGTCTCAGCTGGGCATGTCTTCCTACATTGGGTTAATTGTGGATAGAGCATTTCAGCTAAGGAAAGTAGAAGCTGCTTCATCGTACGTAATTCAAAACTGTCTCTTTCGACGTCTTCAGCCACATTTCTTCCACTACATTCTCCGGCTTCGACTCAGTTGATGTCTCAGCTGGGCACGTCTTACCACATTGGGTTAATTGAGGATAGAGCATTTCAGCTAAGGAAAGTAGAAGCTGCTTCCATCGTACGTAATTCAAAACTGTCTCTTTCGACGTCTTCAGCCACATTTCTTCCAATAACTTCCTCCGACTTCAAATCACACGGAGCCTCGGATAGGCACGTCTTGACACATTGGGATAATTGTGGATAGAGCAGCTCAGCGAAGAGAAGTAAAAACTGTTTCATCGTGCGTAAGTCAAAATCGGCATTTTCGAAGTCTTCAACAACACTTCTTCCAATGAATTCCGTCTTGCTTTCAGCTGGCGTCTCGGCTAGGCAAGTCTTCACACATTGGGCTAATTTTGGATAGAGTATCACAGCAAAGAAGGGTAGAAGCTTCTTCAATATTTGCATTTCATGCAGCTCACTTTCGACACCATCAACACTTCTACAACCGTATCTAGTTGTTATGCTTGAAATCAAGTTATCGAAGTCATTTTGTCCTCTTCCGTATATCCACTTGAACAGATTTGTGAGTAATTTTTTCATTAAATCTTCATCGTTTGCTAGAACTGTATTAAAAATATCCGTCGGACATTGGCTGCAACTACCATCTACCATATCTCTGATATTCGTAGCTAAGGCTGATTTGTGAAATCCGAACTTTTGCACAAATATTATATACTACTCTAGCATCACCTGAATCTCATTCATGATGGTATTATATTCGTACTTATTCTACCACGTGAAAGTCTACTTTCTAGGTTTCAGGTGTGAAAAACGTTCACCGATACTATAATTCGAATTCTTCTACCACATTGCCTCCAATGATTTCCACCTTCAAAGCACACGGGGTCTCAGCAGCACATGCTTTTAGACAGTGGGCCAATTGTGGAAAGAGAAGGTCAGCAAAGAATATTAGAACCTTCTTCATCTTTTGTACTTCACATTCCTGCAAATTGAGTTCTTTAACCATTCTTCCAATGAATTTCTTTACTTTTAGCACATACGGCGTCTCACAAAAACATGTCTCAACATTCTGGCACAGTTTTGGGCAAAGCATCTTAGCGAAGAAGAGTAGAACTTTTTGTATCTTCCAAACTTCAGACTCCTCTAATTCTACTTCTTTTACGGCGTTTCCTCCTATGAATTTCCTTACCTTCAACAAGCATGGTATCTGGGCTACGCAAGTCGTTACACAGTTGGTTATTTTTGGATAGAACATCTCAGTGTAAAAGGGTAGAATTTGCCTAATCTTTCCTATTTTTCCAGCCTCCACTTCGACTTCTTCAAGCAAACTGCTTCCACAGACTTCTGCTTTAAACTCACATGGATTCCTGGATGGGCATGTCTTCCCACATTGGGTTAATTGTGAATAGAGCATCTCAGCGATGAGGAACAAAATCTGCCTGATCGCTCGAGTTTCAAATCCACCCACTTCAGCTTCTTGAACCACACTTGTTCCACTAGCTTCCTCCGCTTTCAACTCACACGGAGTCTTAGCTATGCATGTCTTCACCCATTGCGATAATTGTGGATAGAGCATGTCAGCTAAGAAGAGTAAAAGCTGCATCATCGTACTTATTTCAATACCCTCTTCTGTGACTGCTTCAACCGCACTTCTTCCAGTACCTTCCTCCGACTTCGACTCAGTTGATGTCTCAGCTGGGCATGTCTTCCTACATTGGGTTAATTGTGGATAGAGCATTTCAGCTAAGGAAAGTAGAAGCTGCTTCATCGTACGTAATTCAAAACTGTCTCTTTCGACGTCTTCAGCCACATTTCTTCCACTACATTCTCCGGCTTCGACTCAGTTGATGTCTCAGCTGGGCACGTCTTACCACATTGGGTTAATTGAGGATAGAGCATTTCAGCTAAGGAAAGTAGAAGCTGCTTCCATCGTACGTAATTCAAAACTGTCTCTTTCGACGTCTTCAGCCACATTTCTTCCAATAACTTCCTCCGACTTCAAATCACACGGAGCCTCGGATAGGCACGTCTTGACACATTGGGATAATTGTGGATAGAGCAGCTCAGCGAAGAGAAGTAAAAACTGTTTCATCGTGCGTAAGTCAAAATCGGCATTTTCGAAGTCTTCAACAACACTTCTTCCAATGAATTCCGTCTTGCTTTCAGCTGGCGTCTCGGCTAGGCAAGTCTTCACACATTGGGCTAATTTTGGATAGAGTATCACAGCAAAGAAGGGTAGAAGCTTCTTCAATATTTGCATTTCATGCAGCTCACTTTCGACACCATCAACACTTCTACAACCGTATCTAGTTGTTATGCTTGAAATCAAGTTATCGAAGTCATTTTGTCCTCTTCCGTATATCCACTTGAACAGATTTGTGAGTAATTTTTTCATTAAATCTTCATCGTTTGCTAGAACTGTATTAAAAATATCCGTCGGACATTGGCTGCAACTACCATCTACCATATCTCTGATATTCGTAGCTAAGGCTGATTTGTGAAATCCGAACTTTTGCACAAATATTATATACTACTCTAGCATCACCTGAATCTCATTCATGATGGTATTATATTCGTACTTATTCTACCACGTGAAAGTCTACTTTCTAGGTTTCAGGTGTGAAAAACGTTCACCGAT